TCCCTGCTTACACACTGAAGGCCTAAAATCAGCCATAGGCCTAAAATCAGCAATAGGCCTGACATACATGCCTGCTAGCACCAAGTCTTGGGTCTCTGTGGAAAAACACTGAAACAGATGCCTAGGAGTTATTGTAAACAGCCAGCTTTGGTGGAAGGCTGCCAAGCCTGGCTACTCATAGGCCTTGTAGATAGGTAACCTTGGTGGATAGTACCAACTTAGATAAAGACAAATGAATCATAGGCGGAGTCATAGTGATTTGTCCCCTGAACCTTCACCCAGCTGACACTCTGTTCTGGAAGATATCTGTACTCCCCCTGAACACCCACGATCCTTCCCTTTCCTACATCCTGCCTTTTTGTGTATATAACCTGTGTATGAAAAAGTAAAAATTATGATCTGATCAGATTATAGACAGGTAGACAGGTCGTCATTCCTTATGTCTTTGCCTGGTTTCCCCCCCCCTTTCAGGTGACCTCCCTGGACCCCTGTTTAATGTCCTGCTGGACAGGACATGGGGGTCCTCCCTGAAGAAAGGCATAGCCCTCACAGTCTGCCTTAGAGAACCGTCAGCTGTATGCGTCCATGTCTCCACTCCACAACATGGACCACACCTGCTGCACCAAGTGCGAAATCCTCGGATTTGTATCTAAGGTTGGTGGCATGAAGAGCAAGCATTTGCTTATGACGGTGTGTGTGTGCATGTATGCATGTGTGGGAGCATGAGAGAGAGAGAGAGAGACAGAGAGAGAGACAGAGACAGAGAGAGAGAGACAGAGAGAGAGAGAGACAGAGACAGAGAAAGAGACAGAGAGACAGAGAGAGAGAGAGAGAGAGACAGAGACAGAGAGAGACAGAGAGAGACAGAGAGAGACAGAGAGAGACAGAGAGAGACAGAGAGAGAGACAGAGACAGAGAGAGACAGAGACAGAGAGAGACAGAGAGAGACAGAGAGACAGAGAGAGACAGAGAGAGAAAGACAAAAAAAATTTTTTTTGTTTTTCGAGACAGGGTTTCTCTGTGTAGCCCTGGCTGTCCTGGAACTCACTCTGTAGTCCAGGCTGGCCTCGAACTCAGAAATCCACCTGTTCTGCCTCCCAAGTGCTGGGATTAAAGGCGTGAGCCACCACCATCGCACGGCCGAGACAAAAATTTTTAGTCTGCTCTATGGAGATACTCTATTCCACCCGTGATAATCCTCATAAAATTTTCTATTCCCAGGCAGTGGTGGCACACACCCTTGACCCAGCATTTGGGAGGCAGAAGCAGGCAGATTTCTGACTTCGAGACTAGCCTGGTCTACAGAGTGAGCTCCAGGACAGCCAGGGCTACACAGAGAAACCCTGTCTTGAACAAACATTTTTTCCCCTACTAGCACACGGTCTCCTCGCCAGATCCCGCCCTCATCACCCATTCTCGAGCTTCGATCATGTTGTGGAACTCAGGACAGAAGCACTGTGCACCTAATAGAAGGCACAAGAGGTCATTTGGGGGAGCCCCAATGTTACAGTGTCCACTCTTGCTGGTCTACAACGCCAGCTTCTGCCCAGCTCCGACAGACTCCTTACCGTACATCTTGCCTTCGTCCGACAGGATGATTTTGCGGCGGCCGCATGGTGGGTAAATGGACAGGGCCTCCTGGAAGCTTTGCTCGATATCAGGGCTCCACACACCCTCTGCGTCATTGTCGATGGGCTTGTCCAGTGCCTGGCTGCCCCCAGAGATGCTGCTCCCCTCCGGGGAGTCAGGAGAGCTCCACTCGTTGGAGGTAATGGTGCCGGCCTTGCCCTCCAAGGCTTGGCTTGGAGGAGCACCCGTTGGACCTGTCAGAGCCGAAACAAAGCAAAGTAAGGACGGTGTGAGCTGCAGGATGCCCAGGGAGTGCAGGCCAGTTATTCAGGGAACAAAGGGAAAGGTCCGGGGGTGGGGTAGTGGGGAGGGTCAGGGAGGATTGGGCAGGTTGTTTTCCCTCAGCAAACCAAGCTTCTAAACTGCACAATGAGCATAAAAGACTCCTTTGATTGAGCCTTAAATCCCAGCATTTGGGAGGCAGAGGCAGGCGGATCTCCATGAGTTCGACGCCAGCCTGATCTACAGAGCTAGTTCCAGGATAGCCAGGGCTACACAGAGAAACCCCCGTCTTGAAAGCAAACAAATACTCCCTGATTGTACTTCTAAGAACACACACAAGGCTGGGAAGTAGGAAACAAAGGCTTAGGGACAGATTCAATCAGACACCAGGAACTCTGGGCAAAAAGGATCTTAACTATTACAGGGGAGGTGAAATAGTGCAGACCCCATGAAATCAGTATATAAAATCCTAGGAGTTAAAATGAGGGCCGGGGTTGGGGGGGAAAGCCCAGTGATTAAGGGTTTACTGAGTGTGCTGGAGGGCTCTAGCTTCAGCACTACCAATAATAGTAATAATAGTGGTGGTGATGATGATGATGATGATGGTGTGATGGTGGTGATGATGATGATAAATATGACCCACCAATCCCGCTTTTTTGTATACATATTCAAAAGTATTAAAAACAGGAGCTCCAAGAGACATCTGTATACCAGTGGCAAAATGGCTCCAGAGTCTCAGGGACTCTCCTGTGTCTTTCTCTCATCTCCAGTGGAAGCACTGTTCACAACAATAGCAGCACTATTCACAAGAGCCAAAACCTGGAGGGTGACCTAAATTCATCCTTAAATGAATACAGAATACAGTATGAGTATACTATTAGCACTAAAAAGGAAGGTAACCCTGCCACACGCTATAACACGGGTGAGCGTCCATGATATCGTCGTGAAACAAGCCAGTCCTATGTATAGGTGCTCATACAGGAGCTACTACAGGTGCAGCTGCTCATACAGGTGCAGACTTAGAAAAAAGCTGCAGTAGATGTTGCCAGAGGTCGAGGAGGGAGAAATGGGGGGGGGGTGTTGTCTAAAAGATACGGAGTGTCAGGTTGACATGCAATAGTGTGATCATACGTCCTATCAGGGCCCCTTACACTGTTGACAGATGAAGATGGTAGGCTGATGTTGCTTAATGACAGGAAAGCTGCCTAGCAAGGACACAGCCCTGGGTTCAATCCCTAGAGGCACAAGAAATCATTCCAGAAAGGGTAGAAAAACAAAGCAAAGCCAATGACTGAAGAAGCAATTGTCTGTGAAACTTCCTCAGTTGATGAAAGATCTGAGTCCTCCAATTATGGAACCATAATGAATCTTAATCCAGGTAAATTCAAATAAAATTTAAAAATGCCCAAAATCTTAAAAGCATCCGGGATAGAAAATATCAGATTATCTATACAAGTGGGAACAGAACCCAGGACCTCTTGCATACCAAGAAGATGCCACACCAATCAGCCAAGCCCAAGCCCAGAAAAACGTATTAAACTAATAGTGGTTTTCACTAAAAGACTCAAGATAACATATTTCCAAACTGTTGGAGAAAATAGCTCTCACCCAGAACTCAAACCCCAACAAAGGGGTTGGGAGATGGTCTGTGGGTAATGCACTAGCTGTGTAACTGGGAAGACCTGAGTCTGGATCCCCAGACACATATGTTGAATGAAGAGGCCCATGTCTGTAATGTCAGTGCTTCCACTGGAGATGAGAGAAAGACACAGGAGAGTCCCTGAGACTCTGGAGCCATTTTGCCAGTCAGGATCAAGAGACTGTGACTCAGCACAGGAAGATGGTGACGTGGGCAAAAGCACGTGCCGCAGAAGCCAGATGGCCCGAGTTTGAACCTCTAAAAAGCTGGATGCTTCGGCAAACACCTGTGCTCCCAGCACTCATATAATGAGGTAAGAGGCAGAGACAGGTGAAAAGCTGTTCTCTGATCTCCTTTGTGTCCCATTCCCATGGCACATGTCTACCTGAAGTTTGTGCATGTACACACACCCATACACACACACACACACACACACACACACACGGAAAGAAAGAGAGACAGAGACAGAGAAAGTCAGAGACAGAGAGAGAGATACACAAATGATAAACAAAATTAAATCTTTATAAGGAGAGATAGCACTGGTTGCTCTCCCAGAAGACCTGGGTTTGAGTCCTAGCACCCACATGGCAGCTAACAACAATGTGTAATCCAGTTTCTGATGCCTTCTTTTGGCCCCTACAGGCACTAGATACTCAGGTGGTGTACATATACAGACCCACAGGCTAAATATCCATATAGAAAGAAAAGCAGACTGTTCTCTCAGAGGACCCCAGTTCAGTTCCCAGCACCCTCACACCAGAGGATCAGGATTACCTGTAACTCCAGCTCCAGAAGATCCAAGACCTCTGACCTATGTGGATGCCCACACTCACCTACACAGACACACACAGCTATACGTAATTACAAAGATTAATAAGATAAATGTTAAAAGAAGGAAAAGCGTGGAATTGTGCTGCTTCGTTTTTTGCCAACTTGACACAAACTAGGGTCATCTAGGAAGACAGAACCTCAGCTGAAAGAGACTCCCATTAGATCGGTGTGTGTTCAAGTCTCTAGGGAGTTTTCTTGGTTAATGACTGACATGGGAAGGCCCACCCCACTGTGGGTGTTGCCATCCCTGGGGTGTATAAGAAAGCAGGCTGAGCAAGCCATGTGGAGCAAGCTGATATGTAGCCCTCTTGGTGGCCTCTGCGTCAGCTCCTGCATCCAAGCTCCTGCCCTGACTTCCTTCAATGGGGAACTAAAACTGTAAGCCAAAACAAGCCCTTTCTCCTCCACGTTGCTTTCGTTCATGGTCTTTACCACAGCAGTAGAAATGTAAGACAGGAATAAAGAAGGTGTGTGAAAACTACAGACTGGAATCTGACGTGAGAAGGTAACCCACACAGACTGAGCAAAGGCTCTGGCAGGACGGAGAGTACATAGGAACAGAAGCTAATGCAGAACTGGGGCTCAGTGGTAAAGCGTCCCCATGTGTGAGGCCGGGTGCCATGCCAGCACTAAAACAAAACCGAGAGCTAATATAGCTAAGACAGCATGAATTTAGAATATCCGTTTGATCAAATCTAAGACCCTTCCACAACAATGACTGTTATCAACCAAAACAATGATAAGAAGTGATAGAAAGAAAGAGCTGACTTCTTCAATCTGAACAAGGACATCTTTTGAGAGCTTACACAAATTCGACACCTGCTAAAACAATGGAGACGATATCTTTTAAATTACAGGTAAGATTAAGGACGTTCACTTTGAACACTTCAAACACTACCCAAAGCCGGGCCGTGATGGAGTACTGGGGATGAGGAGGCAGAGGCGGGTGGATTGGTCAGTTAAGAACCAGCTTGATCTACATAGGGTTTTCCAGGCCAGCTGACACCACACACTGAGACCAAAAGATGTTTAATTTCTGTGTAAGGGAGGGACTTTGGCGGGGGGGGAGGGGGAACAATACAAATGCAGTGAGATTATGATTTTAAAAATTTCCACAAGGTGTTCCACAAACCCCTAGCAAGCAGACTCTGTGTTAACACAGCTGAAATGACTCCCAGGCTCTCTATGGCGGTGGGCTCCGCTCCTTCCTTCTGGTCTTCATGCTGTAAAATGGTACCATGCTGTGTGAGGACTGGGAGACCAGCATAGCTCTGCTCCTCCAGCCAACAGTGACCTCCCGTAAATCACACCATTGCTCTGGCCCTTGCTCATAAAACCCAGGGACCTGAGTTCTTTCTTTCTGTGCTGGTAATGTCTGTGGTGCACACTCTACACCTGGACCCCGTATTTCTTCATGGGCCTCCAAGTGCACCCTATAGATACGTACAGGAAGAGGGTGTCCCCACAGAGGGGAATGCACAGCTATCAGAGCTAGAAAGGTAACTCAGTGTGAGAATCCTTACACTAGAAGCACAAGGCCCTAGGTTTTGAGCCCCCCTAGCACACACCCATGGTGGGGGAGGTAAGGTCTGCTACAGGGCTTGCCACCCAGTCCGTGCTCTGTACAGGGTATTTAATAACCACTGTTCTTAAGCGCCAAGCCTGCCATACAAGCTCTGAAACCTTAAACAGGCCAGGCAGGTACACACAGCTTAAGCCCTAATGATGATTAATATCTGACGGTAATTAATTAACCTTCCAATGCATAAGGCCCCATTAGGTTAGCTGTTAGGCTTCCTTTTCTTCTAGGGCCTGACAGGGCACAGCCATACACTCTGAGCTGGGTGGAGGGCAATACAAAGAAGCAGATAGCCCCATACTATTTTATGTGACCCCACCCCTCCCCGCCTTACCAGAGGAGATCGCTTCTAGACCCTATCCCTCCTCAATGTTATCCTCTCCTACACACCAACGTTGGGCCCAAAACAGCCCAGAAGAACAGGCCTGGGAGAACTAGAGACCATTTGTATCAGATTGCCCCCACGGGAGAGGTTTTCTGAGGACCTGCACTCCATATTCCCAAGGTTGGGTCTGTCCCAGGGAAAGTGGGGTAGCGGGTCACGCATAGGATTTATTACTGCAGTGAGCTGTCCCCTGGCCGTGTGGCTGTGGTGCTCCTGGTCCTCAGTGGTGACTGGCTGGCCGCTCCCACTCTTACTAGGCAAACTGCCCACACAAGTCTGCCCCGTGGCCAGAAGAATGGGGTAAGTCAACTCCAGCCCAAAGACATTCCCTCTCCTGCTCCTCCCTCAAGTGACCCTCCAGAGACTGCCAGGAGAGAGGTAGAGTGGGAAACAGATGGCAGCACCGCCCAGACCATGTGCTATGGCCAGAGAAATAAAAATAATTCCCGAATTGGCTCTCAGGCTCTGGGCAGAGGCTTCTAGCTCTGTCTCTGCCCCACCCAAAAGCCAACAGATGTCCTACTTGGGACAACCAGGC